AAACCCAACATTGTGAAATCCAGGACTATATATACCCTGGGCTCTTCTTTGAATTAGTCAAGATCTTCCAGTATCTCCCTTTGGGTGAACCCAACCAGAGGCTGGAGGGCAAAGGACAGTGGGTGATACAGTCTTCGAGGTCAGGTTCTTAGGACATAGAGCAAGGATGAAGAAATGGATGGAGGCTGGAACTGGACAGACAGGAGAATGGCAAACCCTAACTGATATTCCTGACTTTGGTACAGAGACGTTAACTAACTTTCTCAGGGTAAGGTAACTGCTTGATAGCAGACCTAGCACTGAAACCCAGGCAGATCTAGCTCCAGAGCTCAGACTTTTGGCGACTACAAATACAGTTCCCAGGACCCATCACCTCTGCTGCCTTTCTATTCTGGGCTTTCCTTGGGATCTGGGAGACTCTTACTGTCAACAGTGACACAGTCCTGATACTGCATCCCTCCCAGTGTCTGGCCACACTCGCTTCATCCAAATCAGGTGCCAGCATCTTGCTGGTCTGTGACCAGAATTGGCCCTCCATAATCAACATGTGTGACCAGATGAAAGAAGAAATAAACCTTTTCTCATGAGATTTCCAGCCTAGTTCTTCTGGACCAACAAGATCAGAAAACTCTGATCCATGGATCAAAGGCTTTGACATATCCTCCCAGTTATCTCCCAATTACTTCAAAATGTTTGCTCACACCTGCAAGAAGGGAAGGAGAGGGAGTGAGAAAGCCATCTGTGGAGATATGCAGCCTTCACTTTCAACTGCAAAGCATCCCTTCTAAAGATGTGGTGAATTCAGCTATTTCAGGAGTCGGGATTATAGATGTGACCCCAGCCCAGCTCTGAATAACTGCCTAGGATTCCTGACAATTGTAAAAAGAAAAGAAAATGAAAGGTTTTCTTTTTCTTTCTTTTTTTTTTTTTTCAAATCTTTCACTATAGTTCATCAACCTGCCAGATGCTTGATTAGCTTCTTTGTAGGTTGACAATCTAATTCCTTCTAGAAAAGACCCTGGTAGAATACCAAGGCTATGGGATTTAGGGGGACAGTGCTCTTGGCTCTGGTCCCATAATTCCTTCTAGAAAAGACCCTGGTAGAATAACAAGACTATGGGATTTGGGGAGACAGTGCTCTTGGCTCTGGTCCCCGCTCTGCCACGTGACTTTGGGCAAGTCATTCACTCAGCAAACATTCATTCCTTGAGAATGACAAAGTTAAAAGACACGGTTTCTGCCTTTAGCGAGTATACAGAAAATTGAGTAGTAAAAGATATAAGTAAATAACTCATTTATCACGGTATGATAAATGCTAAGAGGTCCCACAAGAGAAGCCCAGGAAGGGATACTTAGCTTGGCCTGGAGGAGGTGGGCAGGAAGTCTCCTGCCCTCTCTGAGGAATAAGACGGGAGCCTTTCCATATTTGTGAAAGGAGCTAAGGTATGAGAACACACCTCTTCTCCCTTTGAAGCCCCTTCGATGATGGTTTTCTGCATTTATCTGTGAGTGAGAAAGAAAGCCCAACATGGGTGCCCTCCATCCTTCCTCACAGGACTCATGTGAGGAAAGGCTCTGACCTCTCCTTGCTCCTACCTCAGTTTCCCCACACACATTCTATTATATGTACTTCTTTGGCTATCCATATGCCCAATACACATAGTTTCTACATAAATGTGCTAAATGAGAGAGATGAAATTTATTGGATTGGGCGAAGCAGGGAGCTGCTGAGGTCAAAACTTAACTGGAACAAGGTGAAGAACAGGGAGGAGAGACCAGGAGGTGGCACAGTGCTAATGCAACTAGGTCTACCTTGGAAAGGACTTGTGTTCCCATCCTGGGCATCCCAGAGCACACCATGTGCCTGTAATCTGGGCTGGCTGAGGCTGGGGTGGCTCCTGCAAGAAGGCCCTACTGGGGACACCTGCCTCTGTGTTTCTCTCCCAGTCCATTTCACTCTTCTCAGAAGAAAGGAAGAAACTTTAAAAAGAACAAGAAGGAGAGAGTAGAGGGGAAGGGACCAGAAAAGCTGGAGAGAAATCAGACCAGCTCCTCAGAGAATTCCAGAAGCCAGACCTGTGCCTGTCAGGACTACAGGAAATGCCTTGGTGGCTTTCAAAGTTCAGGACTGTTTGAATCTTCAGAGGGATTAAGAAAAGCCCACAAAACCATCTCTGCTTAAAAGAGAATAGTTTAGGAAATCCCCTGTGTTTTAAGGGGACAAAATCAAGTTAAAATTAGGAAGAGAATGCAGACTTCTCAGATAATTAGGAAGGTGATACCGCTGCTTGCAAAAGCATATGCTTTTTTTCAAAGGCAAATTAAAAAAAAAGACTGCATTTCTCATTCATTAATGCCTACAGCCACTCATTCACCTCATGCTGGGCACTGAGTGGAATACAAAGTTGTACAAGACTCCACGCCTGCCTTCAGTTGTATTCTAATAAACATTTATTAAGTATCTACTCTGTGTCAGACACTGGACTCCATCCTAGGATTCAAAAATAGAAGGCTGGACAGTAGTGCAGTGGTAAAACATGACTCTCTGCAAGGCAGACTAAAGGGGTAAGGATCTAGGTTCATAACTGGAGACCTCCCTGGGTACATCAGGCCTGCATATATCCATGATCTGAGGTTGGCTGAGGCTGGGGTGGGTCACAGTGTCAAGACCTTGTTGAGGACATTGCCTCTATCTCTCTCTCTCTCCCTAGTAAAAGAAAGAATAAAACCTTGGAAAAAAAAAGAAAAGAAAAGAGCACAATTTCTAACCTTAAGGAGCTTATAGTCTAGTCAATTTGCTAATAAAATGTCTTCACACTTAGAATATTTTGGACATTGAGTTGGACAGATATTATTCCTGCCTGCATTTCTGTCAGTTCTCTGGCTTTTGAAGGGAGAATAAATCCTCTGGATTTATTCCGGAGACTTGGCAGTTAAGCTCTGAGTTCACAGTATTTGTGACTGAGAGAGGGAAAAAAATGGTCTGTTTGCCTATCTCTCCCCTGCAGGTTTAACAATGCACCTGGCTGGATCAGAAACATCCACTTTGTTCTCCAAATGAGGTGTTACACACACTGAGTCATTTTTCTGGCTTTTAAAAGCTTAATATAACTCTCCCATCTCTCACCTTTCTCTTCTACCTGCCTTGTTTAATAATTAGACTGTGTAATAAGTGCTCTTGATGAGGAGGAGGTGGGTTATTGTTAGGGCCTACAATCCCTGGGACTGTAACAGTTCCTTTGCCAGAGTCATCATGTTCTGGGTGATTTCCTGGGTGTTTTGCTGAGTTGAAAAAGCCAGAGGCCTTTCCTGTTTCAGGGTCCAGGCTTGACTGAACTTGGGTCATTCTGTTCCTAAGGGCCTTGCTGAGGAGCCAGATTTGGTTCCTGTCTGTTAGGCCCCTTGTCACTCCTGTTCCTACCTCAACTTCCACTCTACTTACTGGGAGTTTTTACTAACTGCAGGTGACCACTGCTTCTCAAGGTCCCACTGGGTTTGCAAGGTAGAGAGGTAAGGAAAAAGAGTCGAGGCCAGCCTGTAACAAGGCAGAGGAGTCAGGAGACCTCACTGGTGAAGCACATTTCGGTAGGAAAGCACTCATGACAGGAAAAGAAATGATAGGTAGCTACCCGTGAGGTGGCGGGGAGGATGACTTTTACTGAGAGTTTACATATCTTTACTGGTCTCAGAGTTGCAAAGATTTCAGTTCAGATTCCAACTCTCCCGCTGAAGATCGTGGTGATATGATCTTAAGCAAGTCATGGAGCCCTCTCTTGCTTCTGTTTCTTCATCTGCAAAATGGAACTCAAATACCTATCTTGCATAGTCATTGTGAAAACTGGTGATAAAACATACCAAGTGACTTGCATTCCATAGGCACTCAGTAAGATCGCTGTAGTTATTTATTCGGTGCATTTTATGTATAAGGTACTTACTAGGTTTGGGTGATACAGGAAGAAAGAGTAATGTGACAAATAGGATTGACCAGTGAATGGTCCCAAGAACTCTCTTGTGGGTTACCTGGCAATGGGCTAGCTTCCCTTTTCCAGAGGCACAGGGACTAGATGTACCCAATCACAGCTTCCTATGAGAGCAGGAGACCCGAGGTCTCTAGCTGGGCATTTCACAGCCCTTTGCTAAGCAGTAGGCTTGTATCGCTTTATGTCTGAATCCTAAAATATATACACCCTCCCCTCTCCAGCAAGCCAACCTATACAAAGGGAGAGCTGCAAGGGGTCCCTCCTCAGAAGCACTGTCCTGTGGTGCCTACAGCTGTATTCCAAATGACCCTACCTCTCTGCAGGATCCAGGGAGAACAGGGGACCTATGTACCTGCCCTTTCTTGAGTTTCACTTGCACCAGAGATGCTACTACTAAGAGCCCTTTGCCAGAGCAGAAACGCAGCTTTTCTTTAGAAAGCAGTAAATGTAGCACTGTATGATAAATACTAGAGTTCTTTCACAGGTCCAATTGGGACCCAGAGAAGAGGCAACTAAATGCCTTTGGAGAAGGTACTACTTGAGCTAAACGTTGAAGGAAGATCTTGCCAGGCAGATGCGGGGGGTGTTCATAGGATGGGGAAGGGGGCTGTCCAGTCAAAGGGGATGGCATATGCAAAGTATGGCAGCCAGAGAGGAATGAAAAATTCTGCTTGCTTATAGTGTTGAATGCATAGTGATGTGATTAGAGATGATGCTGGAAAGGTAGATAAGACTTTGAAGGTGGTGCTAACAAATTGAAATTTATATTTGGGTAATAATCTCAAAACACATGAGGTAGGTATGCATTGTAGGAAGATCATTTCACAAGCTACATAAGCCTGGTCTGGGAGGAGCAAGGCTGGAAGCAGTTGCAATGATCCAGGTAAGGGGTGGTGATTGCATACACTAGGGTGTTGCAATTGGAGAAAAAGAGAGATTTAAGAGGGAGGTGATTTGAGAAACAGCATGTTAGGACTGAGAGAGAACTTATTAATTATTATTTATCTTTTTTTTTTATAGAAGAGGAAATTGAGAACCAAAGAGACTGCATAATTTCTAGCAAGTTGAATCTCCTTGCACCAAAAACCTCTTTTCTTCCTTAGGAAATTCCCAGATGATTAAGATGATCAGGGTACGCTTCTCTAGGTATGGTATTTTTGGTCTTTGGAAGTATGGGGTGGGGGGGACTCTACTGAAGAGTAAATTTTTTGAAAAGGAAGAAATAATTGTGGGAGCCTCTTTTCCTTCCCCTGATGATCTCTCAAAGCATCTTTCATTTTAGAGGGATGTGGGTTTTATTTTCAGACTCACATGTTGGTTAGTTTGTAGAATTGACACATGGGGCCGGCAGATGGCATTGTGATTAAGGCACTAGACTCCCACACGGCCAATTGTGGTTTAAGTTCCAGACCTGGCTGCTTACTTTCTCACTTTTCCTCTCTCTCTGGTCAAATTTTATAATAATAACAATAATTAAGTAAACTTTAAAATTCATGCTTGTCAATGCCTGGAAGTGACCCTACAGTGCATACAAAGAGGTAGAAATTTGATCTGATGCAGTGAAAGTGGATTACTGCAAAAGTCTAATTGGTGACTTGATGTGCTACCTAGCTCTAATAACCAACCATTCCGCATCATTTCTATAGGACGTCACTTGAGATGTGTATATGGAATAATCCTGTGGCACAGGAATTGTTGGTCATATTTAACATGGCATGAACCTGAAGCCCAGAGAGCATGGCTATGTTCACAAAGTAAGTATGCTGCAGTGCTGAGATTCAGAACTCAGAAACATGCGATTCTTATTCCCTTTTCTTCCCACCACACTTGATTATCTCCCCGAAGCTGGCACAGGTCTTCCCATCATTTTGCATTTTAGCCCCAACAAGTATAAGCCCGTGGCTGTAGGATTAGTGGGTCAGATACGAAGTGTGTTCGGTCTTCCCCTTATGGTCTCTGACTCAAATGTGGACAGGGTCACCTATGGGTGAGTGTGGGTTGTTCTCAAGAACAGGGGATATCTTTCTTCAGCACAGCGGTCATGGTAACCCCCGGTAGCATAAGGTGTGCACAGGGCCATGGGGACAAATATTGGAGTAGGGTTCTCCCCTTCGTATTAAAGGCTTCTCTTCTTTCTTCTTCTCTTTCTCCTCCTCCTCCTTCTCCTTCTTCTCTTAACCATAAGGCACCTGTGCTCACCAGAGAGAGAGAGAGAGAGAGAGAGAGAGAGATTAGACAAAGGGAAAAGGAGAAATCATCCCCCAGGGGGAATAGCCATGCTTCAATCTCTTCTCCTCTTGGGATTTTGGGCACACATGCTCATGTGCTCAGTGTGATTTTCAAGTGGCTGTGTCTGGGACTCAAACCATGGTTGGCCATGTGGGAATCCAATGCCCCAATCACCATGCCATCTCCTGGCCCCAGAGGGTTCCCTTCTAAAGATCTGTCTTCAAGTACAGCATGATCTAGACCTTTAACAACACAGTGATCACATCTCTTTACTTAAGAGGTGGGAAAAAGAACTGCTAACATCAATTAGCTCTTCCCCCCTTATTGCCACAGTGTGCCTACACTTGCCAGACAGAGAGAGAGAAAGTATCCCCTAAAGGGACGTGGTCACACACCCATTTCTTCATCCTATTAGTATTTTGGGCACACATGTGTGTTTTTCGAGCCACCAGGGCTGGGATCCTATGAGCGGGACTTAGCTGCTGTGCAATTGAGCTAGTCTGATTAGCTTTTTCTTAAACATATTTTATAACAATTTTTTAGTTGTTAATATATATAAAATAAATAATAAAAATAATGTTCATTCTAAAATTACATAGAGCTGACCCTGTAGGCTAATAAGGGGAACTCACCTGGATGACTATGGCTCCAATCCTAGCTCTGGCAGCTTGAAAAACATGCTAGACACATGTGCAAACACACTCCAAATCCCAACAGGATGGAAAAAATGGAAGAGAAGGAATTGTGGTGTGACAATGACCCACTGGAGAGTGCTTTCTCTCTCTCATGAGTGCACACATCCTCTGGCAATAGAAAAATAAATAAATAAAATTATATATCAATATATGGAGAAACATTTGAATGTGTACACATATGCATATTTCCATATACTTGTGTGAGTATGGATACACAAATAAAACTAACTACATACATACACAGCTATAGAAATTTCTGTTGTACAAATGCATTCAACACCACCTGCTAGCCCCAGGAATAGCCCATCTTGATAAGGCTTGTGTGTAACTGGATCAATAAGATCATGTATCTGAGAGCGTCTGGCATAGCAATTACGTTGATGAATTCTACATGGCCTACCGCAGTTCAAGTCCTGGACCCAGTGGCTTCATAATCATGCCAGGTGCATGTGCAGGCACACCCAAGATCCTGAGAGGAGAATGGAGGAGAAAGGATTGCGGTATGGCCATCCCCGCTAGGGGTTGATTTCTCACTTTCCCTCTCACCATCTTTGTCTCTCTCTTCAGCAAATGCTCACGCTCTAAGGAAAAAACCTCTTAAAAAACAAAACAACATGTAGCAAGTGGACTGCACATAGAGAAAGGCTATTTCTCATGTTCTTGTGCAATAGCTGGAGGGAAGAGTCAATGCTCAGATTGATAACTTAATTTGTGTGTCTGCTGTCAAGTGCCCACCAGAGAAGGGACCTATATAAAGACCCAAAGTCCCTTGCCTTTAAGTACTTCTGGATGCCTCTAGCAATCTTTGTCTCCTAAACTATCCAGGTAATTAACCTGAGAAGGTTTCCTACCACATCTGTTTCACTAGAGCACGAGACTCTAGCCACAGTGGGAGCAGAGATTCCTCCCAGCTTTCCCTGGGAGTCCAAAGTCAGAGCAGCCCTCGTTGCCACTTTAAGAGGGGTTGATTTGGTGGACAAAGTGAGAACAAGTGAAGAATCTTCTTAGGTCCTCAAAATATCCCTTAATTTAGCATTTTATTTCTCTCTGCTTCCAGCTGATAGCTTGAGAAAAACCAAATCAGAGGTTGCATGTTTTTGTTGTTGTTGTTGTTTTTTGTTTTTAAAACCTAACAACAAGCCAGCCTTCAAACTATCCAACCATTCTTCAACTCCCAATACTGTGTGTGTGTGTGTGTGTGTGTATGTGTGTGCCTATAGATAAACAGGCATATATGTTACCTACATTTATTTACTTCTCCTCAAACGGAAGTCCATTCATTTCCCAATATATTTTACGGAATGACTTGCCCATTGCCAGCATTGGGAGGATATATTAATCCTTAGTCCTGAAATGTTTAACTTAGAAAATAATGGGAAGTAGAAGAAATAGAAGGACCAAGTTGACTCATTTATCTCAGATGTTCCCCCTAAACTACTTCAGAAATGCCAGCAGTGAATTAAAACCAGAATTCTCGAAGAATGACCTAAATCACACTTCACCAGGGAAACCCTTTAGTTTCTTAGTGAAAATTGCACTTCATGTCTAGGACAGAGGAGCTTGATGATGACTCAAGTCAAGTAGCGCAAACTTAACTCCATCTGGTCTGAGAATAAAGAATGGATGCTGCCTCTCTACGGGCAGAAGCCTCTTTAGAAGAAAAGGGAAGCCACTGTCGAGTATGCAATACTAACGTCCTGTGATGTGTTAGTGCTGAGAAGGAGAGCTGGCTTGGAAAAAGAGCAAGGAGTCTTTTTCTTGCCTTATGAATCACAGACCAATGCTGATCCTCTGTTTCTTATATGGCGAGCCTCAACTTTCCTAGCCGCACATAAAGTGCCCCTACAGAGCTCTATTAACTAATTTCTTGGTAAAGTACGGGGGTCCTAAAGGCCTGTGACTGAGCAAAAACCAGGGACAAGATAAGATGCAAGCCAAAGAACAGAACCCTCTTTGTTGACAGCTAATAAAAATTTATATTTAACTAGCTATTGCAGGGAAGCAACTAATCTTACAACAGTACAGATGTTGTTGATAATGGTGGTGTCAGCAAGAAGTGACTTTCAGTTTTATGCATTTACTGTTCAAATTGTAAATTTGGTCTTGGGATTCATAGGCAGTAAAGTCCTGGGCAGTTTAATACAGGAGGTTATTTATTTTGTGTATAGATGAAAAGAAAGATTTGAATGAATAGAGATTATTATGAAAGAAAGAGGGAAGAGAAGGAGAGAGGCAGAGAAAAGAGAGAGGCCTAGCTCTAACCTGACCCTGGGCTGGCTGTTTACTTATGGAAGCCCTCTGCAAGTAGATTATGTGGGTGAAAGTGGTCCTGGGGTTGAGACTGGACCTCAGCCTTGCAGATGCAGGATCCCCATTTTATTACCCACCTGGCTATGGGCAGGTGCTAGTAGGGTTGACAAAAAATAAAACAAAATAAATGAAATAAAATACAGGAGCCCAGTTAAATCTGACTTTTAGATAAACAATTAATCATTTTCTAGTATAAGGATGTCCCAGTTATTATTTGTGTGTTTATTTGCTAAATCTGGCAACCCTCTCTAGGAAGCTTCCATTAATTAATTCACCAGGGAATTATTTGTAAGCCAGAACACCCATGTGTGGATTTATGGAGGAGGGTGCATGCTTCTACTTATCAGAGCCCTTGTGCCTACTTTCTGTACCACTCTTTTAGGACTCCGAAAAATCAAGTTTGTCGTTGTTGAGTGATTTTCAAATTGTAGGAAAGCAAATAAAGTAGCCTCACAGACTATGCCTCCAGGCCGTAGTAGGGCATGGCAATGCTGGGTGTTTGACATCACCCAGATTCTGAAATAAGAGTCATGTCTAACAGAAACAGCGTCTTTCTGCCCCAGGCAGTAGTGCAATAATGCTGAGCTCCTACTCTCCTTATTTATTCATTTTAAAATTTTCTTTCTTTCTTTCGAGAGAGAAGCACCCTAATAGAGTCTTCATGCAGTGATCCCCCACTCCTGCCCTGTCCCCAGTTTTGGCCAGCCCAGATCAACAGCACATTTGCTCATGCCAGGTCTACTCAGGCAGGACTGGGGAGACAAACCCAAGACCTTTCACTTGTGAGTTCAGTTGTATTACCACCTGGCCTCAGTCACTCCCCCCCCCCTTTTTAATATTTATTTTTCATATTTTTAAAACAAGTCACCCAAAATCCCTCAGTTATAGACACACTGCCATTTTCTAAGGTATTTCCTGATTAAATCCATTTTGCAATGATTCTTGCACTACTGTCTAGGAAATCATCCTACATGTCTTCCTGAGTTCTAGGTAACCTGACAGGCTTAATAATTAGCAGACATCAATTTTATAAGTTAGTTTCAGATGTGTACAAACATTTTCTAAAACAGAACAGTTTATATCTTGGACTCCCATTCCATGCAATACAGAAAAATTTACACTCGTGCCTCACCCTTGCTCTCTTAGTTGGAATCGCGATTGTAGGAGAGGGGAAAGAAGAGGACCCATGTAACACCATGTGCTCTGAGCCTGTAGCTTCTGAGATGCATAACTGCCCCATCTCATATTTGATCATGCAATTCCTCCCACCAGCACCTAGAGACATTTGGCATGGCATTGTACTGTCCTCAAAAGAGGCTCCATGCCCATCTGGTTTGCTCAGCCAATGCTGCAATCCATGGTTGTTCTTCCATGGCATGACCCCTTTGGCTGCCAGTTCTTCCCCTCAGCTAACTTCCAAATCCTATTCAGAGCTTAAGGAGGGTCCAGTTACTCTCCTACACTCTTGGGGGCCACTGGAAATGTGGCTGCCATTAAGCTCTTTCTTGAACAACCATCTCTGCTCTGTTAACTCATCCACTGTGGCATAAGCACATCTCTGGGGTAAGCTGCCCTCCCTAGACAGGAAGTAGGCCTATACCTGTTATTCTGTTTCCTCAAAGCCTATATAGTATTCTATTCTCCACCCAGAAGTCCACCCTCTGTTGAAGGAATTTGCCCTGGGAAGATGGTCTGGTGTCTTTCTTGGAGACCATATATCCCTCCAGTCCAGGTTATCTTACTACAGTATAAAGAGCTGATAATCTTGCATGAAAGGGAGAGGAGGAGGTTTTTGAACCAGACTAATTTTCTGTTTAGGCCCAGTTTTGGAATGCCCAAAGGCCTTTTCCTCAAAGTCTAGATCTTGTGTTTAGAAAACTCATTTGAATGTAAAAAACTAAGCACTGTGGCTTTCTGGTTGGCATTCTAGTTGTGACAATCCCACTTCA